GAGGGGGGGGGAAGAGAATGTTGGAGGAGTTTTAGGGGGAGAGAGAGCGTGTTAGGAGAGAGAGAGAGCGTGTTTGAAGGAGGAGAGAGAGAGCGTGTTGAGGGGAGGAGAGAGAGCGTGCTGAGGGAGGAGAGAGAGAGCGTGTTTGAGGGAGTAGAGAGAGAGCGTGTTGAGGGGGAGAGAGAGAGCGTGTTGAGGGAGGAGAGAGAGCGTGTTGAGGGAGGAAAGAGAGAGTGTTGAGGGAGGAGAGAGAGAGTGTTGAGGGTGAGAGAGAGAGAGCGTGTTGAGGGAGTGGAGAGAGAGCGTGTTGAGGGAGTAGAGAGAGAGAGTGTTGAGGGAGGAGAGAGAGAGGTGTTGCGGGAGGGGAGAGAGAGTGTTTGCGGGAGGGGAGAGAGAGTGTTGCGGGAGGGGAGAGAGAGTGTTGAGAGAGTGTTGAGGGAGGAGAGAGAGAGTGTTGAGGGAGGAAGAGAGAGTGTTGAGGGAGAGTGTTTGAGGGAGAGTGAGAGTGTGTTGAGGGAGGAGGGAGAAGGTAAGAAAGAAAGGGAAAGGAGGGAGGGGGGACAGAGCAAGAGAGATAGTGACAGCCTTCTGATTTACAATGCTGCATCTCCAGTGCCTGGGAGCTAATGGATTCCTGACAAAATTAAGTCCTGCCTGGCATTTGGATTGCACTACACAATGTGATTATGGCATTTTTTCATGTCAAACATTGACTTTTTGCATAAGGAAGCAATGAAGTCCGCTCCCCTACTAATAAGAATGACATTTTGAAGTGTTAGTTATATATGTAGTGTATGACTTATAACACATTGCCTATGTGAATTTGAAGGTAAATAACCTTCTGTAGTCTGTGCACTGAGCATCAGCATGCTCTCCTCCAGATCGGTCTGGTTGGGGCTCAGCCTGCTCCTAATTAAAGGCAGGTGAATCTCAGCTCCTATTACTATTCCTGTAGCGTCGCACGGGCCCCGCCGCGCTCTGTGATGGATTGTGATCTCTGCAGCTACTGAAACGCTAGAAAGAGCACAATGTCTTACAGCGGGAGCCACTGATAACTTCATGCAGACAAATAAAGACTGTCACTTTTATTGATTTTTACCCTCCCCCTTCTCTCTTCATCCCTCCACTGTTGATTCTCCCTCCGTCTCCCTATTTTTCTCTATATCTCTTACTTTTTCGCTCTCTTTTTTGTCCCTGCCCTCCCCTTCAACATTATCCCCTCAACCCGAAAGCGTCAAACTCGCCGGGAGTCACATCCCCCCAAACAGCCGCCGCGTCCAAATGTGAATAGCATTTAAGGGCGCGTCTCCAACGTAAATACGTGCTGGAGGAAATTGACATTGTCTCTTAACGGGGGTGATGGGTGCCAGAGCATGACAGTACATAACGAGAAATGCAATTTATTCCCAGGCACGGTGCCGCTCGGACAGCCAGATAATGAAACGCGTAGGTCATTGGCGATGACTTAAACCTTCAGTGGCTGTGTGAAATGCATTAAATATCAAGAACATTACACGCCTGGCAGCGTGGCGCATCTGTAGCGGGGAGCGAATGATGTATGGGCGGCTGCTAGTCAGACACAGGAAAGCAATTAGTAGCCGAGCGCTGGAGAGAGCCCCCGCATATCATAATATCCCTGATTATTGACATCTGAATACCCATTACACGAGTGGCTCCAGGTCGGCAAGGGTACAGTATTCTAATTTGACCTACAAAAAGGGAGAACATGAGAGTGGACTGGAAAAAAAAGAGGGCCGCTATCTCGTCAGTGTTTATAAGAATGTTTGAGTTCTGCCCCTGATAGCTCAGTGCGATTGTGATGCTATGCTAGCCTTTGTCACGTGATTCATCTTCGCGTTGAATAGAAAAACACTTGTACTTATTTTCTTTCTGTATGGCCATTGTTATATTTCTCTATTTTTTGTTGTAGTTTTTTTGTCTATTTGCAGCCGTAACACAAAGATATGAGTGGACGTTTTTTTTCCCTTCCCTTATTTACTTTCTGTGTCTCTCTATCTTAGTTATTACATGAAGGACTGCAACTGAATCAAACATTACTAAATATTGTAGGAGAAATATCTTTGGAATTATGTTCAATTGCTATAAAGTGAGTCTGCCTTCTCCCCCGTGTTCAGCAGGTGACCATCCATATGAGTGTGAATTCTGCGGGAGCTGCTTCCGTGACGAGAGCACTCTGAAGGGCCACAAGCGCATCCACACCGGGGAAAAGCCCTACGAATGTAACGGCTGTGGGAAGAAGTTCAGCCTCAAGCACCAGCTGGAGACCCACTACCGTGTGCACACAGGTATGCATTGTTAGGATCACAATGGACAGGAAAATCCACTCCGTCACACCGGAAATATGTCAACTTCGTTCCACTGGAAATATGCAGATAGAAATGTCAGCTCTGTTACAGTGGGAAAATGTCAGCTATGATACACAGGAGAGCTTTCATGGCTTTTACAAGAAATAGAGTAAAAGGGTTAGTGTAATATACTAATAGTTTCTACCAGTACAGTTCCCACTGGACACTAGTCAAGTCACTAGAGATCCACTTCAGCTCCATAACAGATTGAGTTCAGTGCTGTAACACAGAAGGAGGGTAAGTGTATGTAAAATTAGCAATCTAGTGTAAGTGTTCAATAGTGTTATACTGGGCGTTAAGAAGGGCTGGGAGCAATGTGTGTAGTAGAACACATACACTAGATTGATGCTTTTACAAGGCATACTGTACACAGACTGTTTTTATGAATGATTCCAAGGGCCAGTAAACAGAGCCTTGGTGAGGAGCCTCCATATTGACCCCAGGCCTTTACAGCTCCATAAAAGTGTCAACAAGGTGTCGGTCAGTCTCTGGCACTTGTCACTCTCGTGTTGGCTGAATTTATGTCCCCAAACATTAGGATTAGGGACATGTGCTATTACTCTGGGTGACTCAGGTTGCCATGATGGGGGGCACACACACACACACATCACCTAGCCTCCGAGGGCTGCTGTTGAGCCAAGGCTTTACCCGCTCCAACCCCCCACCAAAACTCACCCCCCTTCTCCCATTCAATAAGCCAGCTGTTAAGCCGTGCTATCAAGGCAGCCTGTCAAATAATTGGCTTTTTCTCTCCCACTCCCCTTTCCCCTTTTGTGGGGACCATGGGCCTTCGTTCGCGGTGAGTCGGAGCGTACTGGAGATAACAAGCGCTAGTGACAAGCTCACAGTCAAAGGCCACCGCGCACAAAAAGGAGCCGCTTGATGAATCATCGACATTGGCAACCTCCCACCCGCCTTCCCCCTTCCCGAGTCCCACCTGTCAATTACAGATCAATACCAGGCCTCATTTGCAATTCATTATTGCCCGGTTATCTGAGGCGACCCTGTTTACAGTGTGGTTATTGTCGACACTGCTGACTTGTGGGGCCTCTGCAGGCTGCACGCCCCGTAATGACAGTCTTCTTGGCGTGGCTATTTACATAGGCGGGTAAACACAACCCTGACCCCCTTCCCACGGGTCAAGGTTGGCCAGGTCCAATGCGTCGAAAAAGAAAACTATAGGAGTAGATGCAGGGACACACATCAGAGAGATATCTATCGGCAGCCAGTGACGAGATGCCTCTCTCTCTGTGTAACGTGGTGTGAGCGTCTGTGTCGTTCAGGGCCCGATCACATGCGACACCTCATTTCAAATGCCATTGGTAAAGGTCGGCATTTACATGTCTAATTTGCGCCTGTCGGATTGAGCGCTGGGGATTATTCCTTGCCATCACTCTAATCATTTGCACGTTTAGGAGGAGTTCTGGTCCTGAATATCACATGAACAGGAATGTAGCGGCTTTGGAACCGTCGAGAATCAAATGTAATCAAATTGAAATTGTGATTTGGTGTTTCAAAATGGCATAGGTCCTTTTGTGATTGAAGTGTTAGCCATTTAGATGTGGCAAAATGTACATCAGTATAATTGAATGCAGGGGTTTGGTTTGGAAAGCACATTATAGGGGCAGTTGAGAGATTGATTCTAAAGCCATTGCTGCACAGCAGCACTATATGAAATATCATTATCCACGATGACATGCACCTTTCAATTTGGCCGTGGGAATTTTGTAGACATGATAGTCATTGCTAATTGAGACCACTAGATATCTCTATCTTCCTGCTAGCAAAAGTGTAAGAAGCTCTAAAAGAAAGTTGATACTTTAATCTGCTACAGTTGGTAACATATTGACAACCTGCTCGTATCTGTCAAGTCTGCTTTGTAAATGTAGGAACGACTGAGTATACCAAACATTAGGAACACCTTCCTAATATTGAGTTGCAACACCCCCCTTTTGCCCTCAGAACAGCCTCAATTCAACGGTGCATGGACTCTACAAGGTGTTGAAAGTTTTCCACAGGGATGCTGGCCTATGTTGACTCCAATGCTTCCCACAGTTTTCATGTTGGCTGGATGTCCTTTGGGTGGTGGACCATTCTTGATACCCACTGGAAACTGTTGTGCGTGAAAAACCCAGCAGTGTTGCAGTTCTTGACACAAACTGGTGTGCATGGCACCTACTACCATACCCCGTTAAAAGGCACTTACATTTTTTGTCTTGCCCATTCACCCTCTGAATGGGACATCAATATGGGATCATAGCGTTCACCTGGTCAGTCTATGTCATGGAAAGAGCAGGTGTTCTTAATGTTTTGTATACTCAGTGTACAATGCATGTCATGTAGAGTTCCCTTCCTCAGTCTGACGTTGTTGTTGTTGTTGTTGTCACCCTCCCCAGGTGAGAAGCCGTTTGAGTGCAAGCTGTGCCACCAGCGATCCAGGGACTACTCGGCCATGATCAAACACCTGCGCACCCACAACGGCGCCTCGCCCTACCAATGCACCATCTGCCTTGAGTACTGCCCCAGCCTCTCGTCCATGCAGAAGCACATGAAGGGCCACAAGCCCGAAGACGTCCCCCCAGACTGGAGGATAGAGAAGACCTACCTGTACCTCTGCTACGTCTGAGGCCTTCAGACGACAGCCCGGGGGAAGGAGGACGGGCAGAGGAGGTGGAGGACGAGGTGGAGGAGGAGGGGGCTGAGGAAGGAAGAGGAAGGGGAGGAGGGGCCTGAGGAAGGAAGCGGAAGGGGAGGAGGGGGCTGAGGAAGGAAGAGGAAGGGGAGGAGGGGGCTGAGGAAGGAAGAGGAAGGGGAGGAGGGAGCGAAAGGAGGACGAGGAGGAGGACGAGGCCTGTGGCGAAGAAGTCAAGCGAGAAAATACACAAAATGGAAGCAGAGGCGGTTTTCGAATGCAAAGAGAGCGAATGGGCAGAGGGCAGAGGCGGACACAGTGAGGAAAAGGGCTAGGCGGAGGAAGACTGAGGTTCTGACCGAGAGGACATTTCCCCTTCAAATTCATATGTCGTTCAGTACATCTATGTATGTTTTGTTTCGAGTTGTCAAATTGCCCAACACAGAACCCGTCAGTGCATCGATGCAGTTGTCCTTAAGTCTACCAACAGACTTGAGAGATGTCACCCAAGCCACACCTGGAACTGAACTGATTCTCAAAGGCTATCTGAACCCACACCTCCCCATCATTTTGACCACTGGCTATCCCTAAATGTAGTTTTGACACCCTCACCTTTTCTGGAATGGGATTGTATCCTACTGTAACTTGGTGGGTCAATTCTCTCATTACATGATACAGTACCACAGATCCCCTCCTGATTTGATTAGATTGGACACCAAGTCATGTTCTGCTTGAGGAACATGTCACATTTGATCCCTACTACCCATCCCATTGTTTACCAGAGTGCATCTTCAGACCTGGTGGCACAGAGCACTTAGACCCCTACAGTGGTGTAGTGCCATTCAGATAGCCCCCGAGAATCAGCCTAAGGGCCGGACCATGTGGCACATTTCAGCCAGCCCTATGGAAAAATAGCACCATTTATTGTACTGCATCAGCAGAAGCGAAGTTGAATTTGATTGGGGCACGACACCTCCGTACCCACGCAGAGGGTTGTCTTTTGTACAGCAAGGGAGATGAACGGAGGACGATATTCCCATATCGGTCAGGTTTCACCGGAGCATCTCGAGAGTCAATCCATGACTGTCACTTTTTTCATCTCGTTATCTTTGGCTCCGCATCATAGTTTATCATAGCTTCATTGCACAGGTAAAGACACATTACGACGACAGTCACTGTTTGATGTTTATATCAGATATATTTTTGAGGGGTTAGCTCGCTGCGAAGCCGCTGCTCTGTTATCTCTTAAACCATAAATCTCTATACAGCATTAACTGGACTGGACTGGTATTAATATACATTTAACCAGATTATCATCAATTACACTAAGATTTAGTACATGGACTGACTCATAACATTTAACTATTTTCTCACATGAATAATCTCATAATCTCTATATGCCATTGTGATGGAGACCAAAATGACAAAGGCTGCTGTGGATTGCAGTAGGGCGCTGTGACGTGGAGGAGTAGCACCAGTAACACCTCCGAGGGGTGGTCGTAATGCCTTCATAATGCAATTATAAGGAGATTATGGCACCTGTTATAACAGGTCATATATACTGTTATGTCGCGTGAGACCATGAATGTGATGCCAGGTGGAAAATTGTGTTTCATGAGTAATTGTAACAGTGCTATATCAGTTGTCATAAGTGTAAAATATGTTGTCATAAGTTGTCGTAACCTGTTATGACAAGCATTATATCTGTTCATATGGCAGCATAATGAAGGCATTATGAGCACCACTGTCAGTTCAGTGTTACCATGGTAATCACATATCTGAATGATTAGCGGGGGAGGGGGGTGGGGGGCGGGGGGCTTCACTGATTGGACGAGACATGGCCTGCCCAGCCCAGGGGGCGACCAGTAAGAAGACAGAATAAATCAACTCTATATATGGTTTTGTTCCTTCGCTTTGTCTCCGTTTCCTATTATATCTTGATTTAGCTCAGCACATTGTACTTGAATTACCTCGTTTTTTTGTGACCTCATGTGCTTGTGTTTTTATTTGTCTTATTTTATTTTTTTATTTTTTGTGAGCGTGTGTCCGAACGCTGCGTTGTTGCGCGAGGGAGATGTGATAAAGCAATGTGTACGCGAAAATTAAGTGCCACGGTGAAAAGAGATTTTTATTGTTGTGTATTTTTGTGCATTATTGTTACCAAACTTGGTATTTTTTTATTAACCTTGCTTGTTGAAAAGCTGGTGGGTTCGGTCATTGTTTTAAAAGCTACCTCTAAGTTGTTTTGTTTTCATTTTTGCAAAAGCACATTATTTTCTGTGTGTTCGTGTTTTGCATTATTGCATCATTGCAAATTCATCTCATGCTTTCAAGTGTTGATTTATTGTCTTTTCACATGTGTAAGTGACATTTATATAAAGGGTAAGAGATGGTAGAGATTGATAAGAAAAATTAAAATAAAACAAATGTTTATTCTTCTCTTACAGTCCGCCCCCTTCCCAACCCCCCCGACAGTAACCTTAAGAGCAGAGAAGAGGTTTTAAGGCCTTAAGTATGGGGTAAGCGGGATTTACGCAGTAGAAGAAGAAATAGTACTTCTAAGAGAGTTTAAAAAAGCATTAAACTTGAAAATATGTGAATAGAATTGTAGTTTTGTAATGTGAAAAAAAGAAGGTTCACCAATGCTGAACCACCAAGAACCGGTCAAATACGCAGCGATGTAGTGTGTCCTGGACAATTGGGACTGCAAGTGGTAATCAACGGAAAAAGGAAGGTTAGAAAAAAAGAGATCCTCTTGGTCGACAATTTCTCTCGAAAGGAGTGTATTCCTGAACAAGAGCCAACAGAGGAAGTTTGATATATAAAAATTGTGATATTTTTGTATTCGGTGTCAGTCCCTTTCCATTTGTCGAGAGTTTCAGCAGGGCAAATATTTGTATTTCTTTTTTTTTACCTAGTTTTTTCCTCTGGTTTTGAATCTTTTGCCTTGCTCCTCTTTGGTAATGTTGGATGTGTGTGTGTGTGTGTATGTGTATGTGTGAACATGTTGTAGTAATTGTTGCTTTCTGGATGTCAATGCATTGTAGGTGAAGGACTAAATCTGCCAAAAAAAAATAAGAGTTCATTCAAAATGGATGGCTGGGATGCAGCCGTCGATCAATTAGTACACGTCATTCACAATTTTATTGCCAACATTTAGTTTTTGTACTTGAAGTGACAAAAAAATGGATGACATGAACATGGTCATAGTGGCCCATGGTTGTCTTGCCACTGATTCTCGAACACTGTGAGCTGAGGGATTTCCCTCGTCCAATATTCATCCATTATAATAATAACTTCAGTCACCAATTCAGAGTGGCAGGCCAGAGAGCCTGAAACGATCACATCACACTTCAATGACTAGAGGTATTCAGTCACATGCTCTTATTGTTGTCTGAATGTTTTATACTTTTTTGTGTGAGTGTGTGAATAAATGAAAGTGCGTATCCGCGTGTGTGTGCGTGTATTAGTGAAAAATGCACTAATCAGAGCAGACACAAAATGAAAACAATGCTCTATGCTACTTTTCTCTTGACATGTTGAAAGAAAATACATTGGCATTGATATAGTTCTTCCCTCAATGTTACTCTGATGTTTCTGTATTATCTTTGTGCCTAAAATGGAAATTGTTCAACAAAAATGTCCATCTATATCTGCTTAGTTTCTGTACTTTCAGAAGATAATAAATGGTGTCTCCAGCACTCTAGGGATGTCATGACGATTTGAGATGACCTGATTTCTGATTTAGAATAAAAAAGGAGCTGTCATCTAGGACTGCTTTAGCCTAAAATTGGTAGTTGGCAAACCACCTTTGATGTTTTGTTTTTTGTTCTTCATCAGTAATTGACACCAAAAAGCAATGTAACTCGTTTACGCACAAAAAGCAAGGAAGATAAATGTCCCTAAAATACAGATTATGAAGCATGACAGTATAAGATTTAAAGATGATAAAACATTCCCGGGCCATGGAAATTGTATGCATTTTTCGTTTTAAATCTGTTCTGAAGGACCGTTGCCTGTTCATTTTGGAAATCAAAGTCGAAGTATGTTTTTTCATTGATAATATTTTGTTGTCAGCAACAGGTTTGCTGAGCAGTTAATGTCCTTCCAACCACTTTGGCAGCTTGTCAAAACCATAGTGTTGCCCCAGCTTAATATTACGACTTCTTTGTTATAAAGTACTTGTTTCGAAATTACATTAAAAATATATTTTTTTTAAAGACTAGCCGTACGAAATCATGGCATCCCTGGAGTAGGCACTCTGTGTTTCAGTGTGGTGTTCTAGAACGAGTAGCCATTTTATGCAGTGTTGCCATGCATGTGCCATTTGAGGTCTAAACTAAACTGTTTGAGTAACAAAGCACCAAGACATTGTCTTTTTTATATTAGCACTGAGGACCAATTGCCCTGTCGGACCAAGCATTACAAAGCTTCTCTCTCTCTCTCATCTCTACTGCATCCTCTTTCTCTTCGTCGCTCTCTCGCTCAGTCCTGCATCCTCTTCTCTCTCATCTCTCTCTCTCTCTCTCTCTCTCTCTCTCTCTCTCTCTCTCTCTCTCTCTCTCTCTCTCTCTCTCTCTCTCTCTCTCTCTCTCTCTCTCTCTCTCTCTCTCTCTCTCTCTCTCTGGCTTGTCTGTGATTTTGTTTCTTTCTTCCTTGTTGTGACAGCACAAGTGCCAGTCGAGTTGGTCTGTATTAAGAAAATAGTGTTTTTATGATTTGAATTGTTATAGTTTTCGTCTACCTCAGCACCTAATCTCAGCCTAATCTTAGAAGGTGCCCAATTATTATTTTATTTCTCTTTTTTTGTTGTCATTTGTATAAAAATGATTTAATTTGCATTAGAGCTTTGCAAAGGTCCTTTGTCTTTTCCAGCGACGTGCTGTGTCTGTGGTCCTGCTTCCTATGTGTGAATTGTGCCACGGATCCCAGCATCTGTCTGTTGATTTAGAGGGGTTTTTCTTTCAGTTTAGGATCAGACACATCTCTTTGTA